GTGTTTTTGTGTTAATAGTTTAATCGATAAGGATTTGCATGTATTCATGCGATAATTTCAAATGAAATCTCTCTCTCTCTCTCTCTCTCAAGTGATAACAACCACTTAATGACAATTTTAAACAATTAATTTGTTTTTATCTTATAATATTTATTGTATAAAATAAATAATGTATAATATAATTATAATTATATAATTTGTGATAACTTTGTATTTATCCAAACATATACAGTGAACATTTTCATCTACATTTTGATTTATAATATTCAGTAAAATTAAAAATCAGAGCATACTCTAACTGTAAAATAATCGGGAAGAACGAATTTACATTATTCAATCCAGAATCTTTATTTTATAACATTATTTACGAAATATACGAAATGCGATATATTTTATTGCGTTTATAGATGACTTGATTTAAACGGAATATAGATTTACGTAAATTTATTCACGAGTAAATATATTGCACACAACTCTTTACATAACATTATATTTATATTTACAATAATAACAATATTAATTTAAATAAATATAAATATCATTATACTTATATAATACATAACATATTTTTCAATAGAAATTTTAATATAAATTTATTTATTTCATATAATATTTTATAATATATGCAAACTTCTGCATTAATGATTACATTTTATATAATAATATATTTATTTTAAATAATATGTTTTATATTAAAATATTTTTTATTATAGTTTATTGCAAAAAGGATTTTAAAAACATTAAAATAATGTTTTTCATGTTAACACACTTTCTTATAATATCCGTTAAAAACGCTTTAGTATTAGTTTTGGGACTTTTATATTAAATGAGGAAATGCTTAATCCTTTAATGGCTTAAAAGTTTATGTGTTTCTGGAAATAAAACCAAGTTTTACTATAAATCACAGAATGTAACCACAATTCTAACTTGTAAGTAAGCATGCAAATATACGAATTGTTAAATTAAAATTGTAATTATATACTGGATAATTTAAATGTTTAGATATACCGGTATAATGTGGGTTTATGGGGGAGAAGGGGGAGGGATAGTCAAACGATGTTATAAACCACATTATTCATAGCTGAATTGTGGTTAAAAAGTATGTTTAAAAACATTTCAAGCAATGTCTGCATTTTGGACCACTTTCTAAATAATTTTTAAGTGTAAAACTCATTATTAATCTTGTTATAGCCTTCAGCTTGCATTGTGTGTAGTGTAGAATTAACATTAGCTGCTAATATAGCATTATAATGTAGAATAGGGATAGAATAATTTTATAAACAACACAATTTTACTATGTAGAATATCTAGAATAAACAGCTAAAAATATTTTACATCGCATTAGTTATATACTGAATAGTTATTAATTAACAAATAATATCAATGAATTGGATAATAAAAACGGATAATTATGAGATAGTCTAGTGCAGGCAATACACAAATGATATATAATGACAAATAACCGAGATGTGATCATAATTCAACATGACAAATTTTTTACTTTAGCGACTTTAATAACAATACTAATAAGAGTTATTTATAGTAAATGTCATCGTTGTTTTTCAATAAATTTCTATTAATCACAGCATTTGTTCATTAATTATAATGATTATTAGCGGGCGTTTGGCTGTTGTTATTGTCATTATTATGACAGTGTATGGACTGTAGTGTGATTTGATCGCACGATTCGTTGCGAACGACAGTCGACTCCCGGCCACCGGACCGGCCGTTGACGGCACCGGCCGTACCGGCGCTGGCGTTGCACCGAAATAGTCGCCGAACCCGTTGTTTAAAGTCCTTATTAAGCCAACAGTATATGAATGGGTTGTAACTGTAATAACATATTAAATCAATAATTTGATAATTAATCTTGGTAATATATTTAAAATTATAATATGGTTTTAGTTTTAGGTAACAAAAATTATTATGTGAATTTTTCTGTCTATACTTGTTATTAATGTATTTATTGTGCGCTTAAAATGTCAGGCAATTAATCATTTTAACTGTATTTTTATATGTATTTTTAATAAATTAACTTGCTCTGTTTTTATGTTCAAATTATCATCTCTACTGTTATAAACTTTTATTATTAATCATATTTAATATAAATTAATTGTGTGTAAAATTTTAATATATATTATTAAAATATTATTTAATAGTTTATATAATTTAATTAATAGTTTTATAATAAAAAAAAACTCTTCAACGCTATAAGTTATTGTCGATAACATATACAGTAAAATAAATGATAGATGGTAAATGGTACATTTAATATATTATATAAATTATGATTGATCGTGACGAGTTGTCAAACTATTTTATATAGCAAAATTATATATTAAATGTAAATGCTGTCAATTTTATATTTGAGAAAAATGCAATAAATATTTTGCTGAAAATTTATTCCATTGTGTCAATCAGTCAATAGGGTTAACATAGAAACATTCAATTTGTTTTGTATGTGTCAAAACTAATATAGAGTACAGTAAAACACTCATTGTGTGAGTGAAAAAAATCAGCTTTTGGTTCACATAACAGTCAGTAATTGATCTGTGAATAGAACGGTTCCGGTGTTTTTGTTCATAACACGGATTAATTCATAGCATTGATGCTATTATAGTTTAATATTAAGTCTATTGAGTATGAATTTGGGTTTAGGTTCATAACACCGCTGTTTTTACAGCATCGATGTTTACAGGAAAGACGTTTGACTGAATTGACATGTTCACACAGTTACTACTATTCTAACATTATGTTTATAGAATAATGTTTTGGATTGGTTTATGCAAATGGTTAGTTCACACAAATAGTCTAAAACTGTATATAAAGTCTTTGGTCTAAAACTTTACAAACATATTTGTTATTCTGTTATTGTCAATAACGTATTTTAAAGGATTATGTTTGCATTCTATTTGAAAACACATCTATAAATGTAAATCATATGTCACTATATTTAAGATAAGAATCTACCGAGAACAAAAAAAGTATAACTGATTTAATTTTATTACCAATATTTGTCGAATGAAATTGGTTATATTTTTTGTTGTTACACGATGTATTAATAATATTGCATAATGATACCTGGTGACATAATCAATATCATTGTGTTAATGTTTAATGCAATACCTATTTTTATAAACTTTATGCTGAAAATTTCAGTACATAATAGCAAACAAATCTATTTTCATGTAAACGATGTAGGAAGCTATTTTATGTTCAGAAATCCATTTTCCATTTGAAAGCATCTAGGATATTTATATTAGTTTTAAATGTATTTTTATTTTTTATACTTATTTATATGTTTAGTATACATTGTACTTATTACAGTAGACACTCGATTCTAACAGCTGCGTTTATAAAATCAGGTTTTGTTATCCCTATCCATACTGTAATGTTAAATGTATTCGATTATAACAGCGAATTTTTATTGTTAAACTTTTTATTACTGCACAACTGTTGTAAAGCCAGTGAAATGGCTTTCAGTTAAATTAACATTATTTTAAAAGATTTAATATTAAACGAGAAAATAAACTAATCCTATAACCGATTTAAAGTATCATGTGTTTTGAAAATAAAACCATAGGTTTAATAGAAATAAAAAAATTTAACCATTATTATAGGCATACAGTGTTGTTTTCATTCCTATGCAAAATAAACATGAATATTTATTAAATAATTTTTATTTGTATTTATGTAAATGTTTGGCGATAGAATTGCCATGAGCTTTACTTGGCGTTATTATGTATAATGGTGATAGAGTTATTTTATAGACAAAGCAATTTTACTATTAAGTACAGAATTAATTGATACAAATATACTTCTATCGTAAAATATAGTCAATTAATTTGATGCTGGGAACCGAAAGTAATATATAGTCTACTGAGCACAGACAATAAACAATAGAGTATATATTTTTTACTATTTATTGTATATAATGATATATAATCGAGATGTAATAATCATTGAACATGGATCATTTTTTACTTACCACTTTACTAACAATCCGAATAAGAGTTATCTATAGTTGTCTTTCAGTACATTTCTATAAATCACAGCATTTGGTCGTTATTAACAGGCGTTTGGCTGTTGTTATTGTCATTATTATTACAGTGTATGGACTGTAGAGTGATTTGATCGCACGACTCGTTGCGAACGACAGTCGACTCCCGGTTACCGGACCGGCCATTGACGGCACCGGCCGTACCGGCGCTGGCGTTGCACCGAAATAGTCGCCGAACCCGTTGTTTAAAGTCCTTATTAAGCCAACAGTATATGAATGGGTTGTAACTGTAATAACATATTAAATCAATATTTGACAATTAACCTTGTTAATAAATTTTAAACTCGTATGGTGCAATTTTTAAGTAATTGTTTTTGTTAAAATTATTTCTATCTGTTATTTGTTATTAATGTATCAATTATGCAATTAACCATGTAATTATTAATTATCCTAATTAATTATATTAATAGTATTTTATTTTGTTTAGTTATATTTTGTATTATTTATCTAATAAGTATATGTAATTATAAACATTATGTTTCTTCTCGTAGCAAGATATAATCTCATTTGTTATAAAAATTGTGCAAATTAATTATATTTTAAATAATTTAATAATTTATAAAATGTTAATAAAATGCCTTTTATCAAATAGTATTAAATGGCATTTATAAAAGTAATAAGCTTTTTTATAAAAACTATTTATTTGAAATAATCTTTATACGATTATTTATTTATAGAATTATATCCATATTCTATTATTATAACATAATAACCTTATTGCATACATTATATAAATTATGATTGATCGTGATAATTGTATTTGACAATTATAAATTTAATTTAATTTCTATTGTAATAATAAGAAAGAAGGGCAAATATTTTTCTCGACATTTATTTTTTTGTGTCAATCAGTCAATAGGGTTGACGCAAAACATACATTTTGTTTTACGTGGCAAAAATAAAACATATTTCAACAAAATTGTACTGTATATAAAAACAAACTTGTTATCCACAAGTTATGTATAAAAAACTGAATTTATCTTTTTAAAAATTCAGATGTTTTTATCGATATTCCTATGAAATCCTATTGAAAAATGAATAATGTATGTGAAAATGCAATTGATTTACATTTTGGGGCTAATATTAAGGCTTGATTTTAAAATATTAAGTTTACATTTTGTTTGAGAGAAAGATTTATGAATATAAAACAGATCATGTTGTTAAATTGAATCAACAATTTTACCCTATTCAAACATATTATAATTTACACTACTGTATATTATACTATGGCAGCTAATGTAGCGCACTTACTTGAATTACTACAGGATAACATAACTCAAATGTTTTAGACCATGGTATTTGGTAATTTGGTTTTGGACCACAAATTATAACTTTCAAGAGTAGTGTATAATATTATCAATAAAACTTAATAAGATAAATCGGGAAACATGTTTTGATTTGAAATATAGACCATAACAGAAATTTTCCATCAAAAATAAGATAAAAAATATATAAAATAAAACCGAAATATTGTATATATACACAAATATATACAGAATATCCTTTATGTAACGCACGTATAATTACTAGCATTGAGTGGACGATTCATAGCAAAAAAACCAAACATAAAACACACTTAATAAAAGTAAAAGTTAATGCCGTAAAAAATAAAAGTAAAATTCTGTGATATTATATGAAAATCCTATTTATAGAAGTTTAATAAGAAATCTACAGTATATTAGTATTAACAACGCCGGCAGTCATTAACGTAAGTGCATTCATATCTATATAATAATTGATATGATATAATATTATATTAAATTGATATAATATTATTTTATCTTTTTTATTTTACATTATAATGCCATATATAGCGTTGCCAAACATACAGGAATTTCAAGACATTTTACAAAATACTAGAATGGGTAATTTGTAGTATTACCCATTACTGTACATTCTAAAACACAAAAATATTTCAAGAATGAACTGTAAATAAAGTAGTTTCAATCAACTCTCACGAGTCAGATAAATATAAACTTGATTAAAGTTAAAATTGATGTTAAAAAATAATATTTTATTCCCTGTATTAATTTCATACAATTTTTAGAAACTAATGCCAATTATAAATCGTCTATAAAGTCACCTTAATCTTGGAACAAAAGCATGATTTTATAAAAACATTTGTTTTAAATAATTTAATCATCATAATTTGTAATACAGAAAGTTTTAAGCATATTTTGTGTATTTATGCAAAGTGTCCAAAATTTTCTGTGACAACTCTAGTAATATAAAATGATATATATTTACTTTACAATAATATAACCGTATAGAAATGTAACATTTACAGTTTATAATATCATATAATACATACCAAACGCTAGACATCGCGAGCCAATGGTTTGCGAAGAAAAACGTTGAGCTGTAGGTAATTATCTGGTAATCCGTTAGCAAATGAAACACATTGAGGGGTAACCAACAAATGGCAAACACCATCACCACCAGAATGAGCATGTTGATACGGCGACGTTTGCGTCTGGCCATGGTCATTCGTTGCCGCTTGCCCACAGTGCCCACAATCTTGC